TACACCGGTGGCTGGTGCCTTGTGTTCAAATTCATCAAAAATTCAGCAAAACTGAATACCAAAGCAGGAAACTCTTTGAGAAATCGCATTCTGGGACTAGATTCTGCATCCCCAATGTAAACTTTGCTTCTTCTGTTGTTAATATCGAGGTGTGAGTGCCATTTCCATGGCTTGTAACGCACAGCGCCACTTGATGCATTTCTCCACTGTCCCATTTTTAACATTAATTGAACCTCATAAAATACTTTTTTTCATTTAGTAGCTGCATTTCTTACAAAAACTAATTATCATTCAGTAATTTAATGCTTATTTAATGTGAAAATGAGTTGTACCTTTACAAATTACATCGCAGTATCTTTATTGGTTTGCATCTATCTCGACACCCTAAACAGTTGGCAGTTGGAGAGAAAAGTGATTTAGAAAACTCCGACTGTGCCAATGACTTCATTATGAAAGAAAAATTTGAATATTCTTTCTGCGGAATATTAAATGATATCCTCATGATGGTGTAGCCAAACACATTTAGCATAACGAAATGGGAAGTGGTGTTAAAACAGTTTAAAGATTTATAAAAGCATTTTTTGCGGAATTTTATCCTTCCAAATGCTCGCCACTTAATGCCGACTAAGATGAAACTCGCATCTGTTGATGGCCTGATTGCGTACCGAATTCTTCGCAGTCGATTTGTTTGGGCCATTTTATCTTGAAAACGACTGTCTCATCTGTATATCTAAAATTTTGCTTTGTTTCAAGAACTTGATTTGCGTGAAATTGACAGACGTGTGATGTGATATTCCATACTCACACATAGCGCGTGCAGTTGGCTAAATTTTCGACTTCAGGGAATATAACGACTAGGACGAGAGTGGGTGGGTATTGCACCCAGACACGCGGGACGTCGTGGCGTGAGACCACTTCCACTGTGTGCAGTCTCGAAATCCACTTCTAGCCACCACAAATCTAATTAAGTAGGAAGTTTTGCCTAGCTCCCTTTTTCTAGTCTGGATTAGCACAAGATCCTCTCATCTAAACATTTCTTCAAGTAGCAATTGTGTGATAGGTGCATTTAAGCTTAATTTTAAGCAATTCACAATTCTCCTTGGGTAGATAAGTGTGGACTGTCACAAATAGACGAGCAGTTTGGATATATGCCCGGCAAATGCTGATGTCAGTAATTGGAAGCAACAAGCCAGCTGCCTTGAAGAGTCAGTGACCATTTGCCTGTCTGAATCATGTCAAACGGTCATAAAAAACCTTCGAATCTTTAATATTTTGTCATATTTCTAATGCGTATGCACACAATCATTCGTGGGTTTTTAATACAAATATGTACTAAGAGGAGGTAAGAGAGACGGTGAAACATAAATGTTGACTGAACATCACAATAGGAGACGAATTATGCCTAAGAAAATCATGTTTCAGTATGAGTTGATAATCCATGTGGACCTACCTGGACACTTCAAACAACTGGTAATCAGAGAGGGACAGTACCAAAAGAAACCCATGTAACAAAAGCATGTAACAAGTAAAGTCGTAGCGGCCGTTGTTGGAATCTCTCCAGTAGTTCGAGACATAGGTGGATTTTTCGGTGTTAATTAGAATGCAACAAATCAAACATCAAGGTTAATAGCGATACGTCTAAATGCAGATAAAATTTTAGTGGAATTGTAATAACAAACATATTCTCTTATGTATTCTTTCCTCTTCTCCAAATTACCTCCTTTTCTCAAATACTACCCCCTCCATTATCGCAAGTACTTTTTGTTTGATAGGACCCCTGTTCCACTTTTCTCCATCCTAGCCTCCAAAAGAATGCTGTATAATCTCGCGCCAACAATGTCTTTGGACGAATAAACGTGATTTTTGACACCCTAGTTTCTGTAATTCTTGCACAGTTCCTTTAACACACTTTAACGTTTGTAAAACGGCGGTAGTAAGTCGGCGCTACTACAAATCTAAGGTGAGTTCCCTTGACATATGTCACCACACCTCTATCACATGTCAGGCACTAGTTTGAATCTTTGAGAATCCAGAAGGCCTCGTCTAGGAAGGGGAAGCACCAGAAGGTATAAAATAATGGCTTAGTGGTTTTGAGCCCGTGTAAAGCTGTACGAAACGGTTTTAAAATGCAACCTCATTTTTATCCCCTTGTTTTTACTAATAGGTATGGCTAATTTCAAAAAATGTGGGGAGGGGATAAAGAGGGGATAAGACGGGTTGATTTGCATCGCAGCTCATTATTCTCTTACGTAGCATTTGATACACTAAACTGTAATGAAGCCCAGTTTAGGTTACCGTATAAAAGATTCAAATATAAATTTCTTGACACGTTGGCGTTTCACACTTAGGAGGTGAACGGAAAGATAGTTGATTATACCTGTTATTTTGCATGCTGTAGAAGGGTAAAATAGGAGCTGCTTATGGAGTTGGCGGTTAATCACCTTTTTCATATTGCAGAATGGAGTGAAGGTGCTGCTCGTAAAATTTGTGGTTGGTCAGACTGAATGCTCACGTATTGACTCCCACGCATGTAAATATAATAAATAGGAGGAGAAGTCAACGGTGGATGTACAAGTGTACTACACGAGATGAAGAACGCCAGTGTGTTCCTTCTATTTGTTATAGGAAGTGCTGTGTCTGCAGTTGCACAGGTACAGGACAGTACCCCTGATTCCACAACAGTAGCAGGAACCTCAACCGTAGCTGAAACCTCAACCGTTGAGGTTACTTCAATGAATCCAACGACAACGAGTGCAGAGCAGGGCCGAAGTGATGATAGCACTACTGTCGAAGTCAGTGTATCGCCTCCCAGTGATCCAACCACCACTGCCAGGATGTCCACTATTGCACCTGCTTTTGTGATCCCTATCCTTGGCGCCCTTCTTCTTCTCACGTAACAGCTAATTTGCCTTTTGTCTATGTCAAACGTTTTTATCCCATGCTATTGCAAACAGCTATCACTTTCATATCAAATTTCCTTTATTCTCCTTGTACCTCGCCAATGACATTAAATAAATGGGCATTCTCCACTTTTCGTCTTACAATTTACCAATTTGCATTTGAGTAAAAGAGGAGGTAAGTGACCTATGCAATCCACTGCTGGCTGTCTCGTCTGCTTTATTCCATCCTCTTAAACCATAATTTAAAGAAAATTTTCTCTAGATATTTCATTGACACGCCTTCCATCAGAGGGTCAAATTTGAGTTGTGAGTCAATTATCACACTTGCGATGGGCTCGAGCGTATGTAAGGGAGTGCATAGCGAAGTAATTCGCCAAGAATGGGGAACCGATTCCTTCAAGATGATGAGCAGGAAATCACCGCCAGATGGCGGCGTGATTAACATGGTTGGTGAAAAGCAAAGATCAAAATTTAATCGACCTAAGTGACAAATAATTCTTTAACTCCACGTCATAATTAAGGATGCACCTCTCTACATATTATAAAATATTCCTTTTTGTAATAATAAACTCTACCGCTCAAAATGAGATTCGCATCTCACCACTGTAATTACGTTATGTATCAGATAAGTAGGGTTAATTTATGGTAGATTTAGAGGCGAAATCAGGTCAATTTTTAGAGATATAGGATTTAAAGATGTTTATTTACCGATTAAAATTGCATAATTAAAGGCAAACAGAAGAGTTTCTGTCCGCTACAACCCACACCAATGACATACAAAGTGATGTTGACAAGAGAATATGCAGGAATACAAAGTAGAAGATGCAGAGGTTAGTGTTGTTATGAGGTTCTCTAGAGTGTTTCTTGCGGTAATATTCACCATTGCCGGCATTCCGCAGGAAGATGCTCTTAAATCATCAACCACTGCTAGACAATGAATCACACATCATCTTAGATCCCACCACTCCATCAACATGATCTCAAGCCCAAAGGAACTGTAGCAAGGACTGATGTAAGAGAAGAGACATCATAACCACAACGCCCAGTTTGTTGTGAATTAAAGTGCTCCAAAAGCAGTTGGCTTTCGTTGCGATGCCATCGCATGCACTCTATGGAAGAGAACAATCTTGAAACACTCACTTCATAGTCTGATAACCGGGCGAACATAACCACGAATTTGGCATTTAACTCACCACAACACCATCTCCATACGATTACAGATAGGACAAGTGAACTTGCAACCACGTCCTCAAGTAGGCGACAGG